AGTGTTTCGCGACTTTCCTACCTTTTCGCGCATCTCCATCTTCTTTCTTCTTACTCTTTCTCTTCTACTCTTCTTCCTTCTAATCTTTCTCTTCTCACTGCCTCTTCCCTGCTCTGCTTTTCATCTGTCCATATTGTCGGAAGTTTGACTTCTAAACTTCCTTCGATGATCCTAGAACCCCTTCATTTTGGAGCCTTTCTGTTGTCAAAAAAAAGGAATCTGCAAAGATCAGGAAAATGTCCACGGTTTCCCAACCTTCCTGAACTCACACGAAGTAGCCCAGGTTTCCAAGCAACGCGCACCTTTTCAAGTGCTTGCGCACCCAGTTGGCTTAAGATTCCCACCCTCTGAGCCAGCGGGCACCAAGAGGGCAAAAGGTGTTTGGTGAAATGACCAAACTGGATTGAAACATCCCTAGCAGACCTATGAACCTCATGGAGTGTAAATCACACGGGGGGAAAACATTACGTAAAGTCCATCCATGTTGGTGCATCAACCACTCGCATGCCATCTTCATCGAAATGGCGAGGTTGATCCTCATTCTGTACAATCAGGTTCTGCTGGGCACATATGGGACAAAACCTACGTGTCTGAATTTCACGGCCAGAGTTGTATAACTCATCGCAGTCTTCATTCGCGTGCCACAGCTCTGAGCCCAGTTGGATGTAAACATCATCACCCATTGGACATACAGCATGGTGGGCATTGAGGTCCAAAATGGCCTGATAGCCCTGCCCCATATCACGGGCTGCAACTCGAAGTGCCGCCTGGTACTGTCGGGCAGCTGTTTGAGCATCCACATATGCACGTCTCGCACGATCGTAAGCTGTCGATCTGCGTACGAAGGCACAGTGAAGCTCGTCGTACATGATGGACAAGGTATTGGCTCTTCTGTTAATTCCATCTCGTTGATGTTGCGCATGTTGGTTGCGCAAGCCCATCTCATCCAGCATGGCCTGCGAATGGCCTAGCTCTGTCCGTGCTTGATCCAGCGAAAACTGTGTTTCTCGTAGATCTTGCTCCAGCAAACGTCGGTCACGACGCATCCAGAAAAACAAAACTGCCAAAATGGCACATACCAGAAAAACTGCAACCACTGACCAGTTCAGGTTGTTGTTAGAACCCGTCAGCGCAGCATGGTTTCCAGAAGTGAAACATACCTCGGTGCTTGCACCATGGGCCAGAGGGAGACCTGCAAGGGTCCAGAAAAACAGCAGTGTCTTGAACACATACGTCAGGAGGACCGTGATCTGATACTCAGGCACGACATGGCGCCGGGCGTTGACATACACAAGGACGTCGTCGGACTGAGCAAAGCACTCAATCGCAGGAATTTCGTCCTCGGCACAAGCTGCAATCTCTTCAGGGATTTCCTCATACTGTAGGGTGTCTTCATCGTCAGGGGCCGCATGCTCTGCAAAAGCTTCGGCATCCACAGAAACTTCATTGGATCCAAGGAACTCGATCTCATCATGGACCAGGTGCTCCTCAGAAGCATTGGACTCTTCAGGAATGGGGTCCAAATCAATCACCTTGGCTTTCTTCAAAGACGCAGGAGTTTTGGATGACTTTTGAGCTTCTGCTTGGCGCTCACTGAGGGATTTCTTCTTGGCCGCGATGTACTGCGGGTCAAACAAAAACTTCACTCGACCATGTCTCAGCTTGTCGGCAAAGGTTTGTCGTACCGACATCTTTGTAAGGCCATCTGCGAGCTGTCGCTCGCTTGAAACCCAAAGCAAACGACCACCAAGGCCTTCCAACTGCTCCTTCACAACCCTGATCTCCAAACCAGAACGTCGATCAACAGCAGACATCGACTCCTTGTGGTAAGAGTCAAAGAGGCACTTGGCATCGGTGATCATCGCCGGAGCCAGAGAAGATTGAACCTTCAAAAGTTCAGCCGAAGTCAAGCCAGGTCGAACCAAATGTTCGTAGTACCTGCAAGCAAACTCCAAAGCATCGCTTGCACAGCCAGCAGCTTGGGCCTCTGCAGAAAGTGAGCTTCGGGCCACACGGGGTAGTTTGAAGCTACGCCAGTCCCAGACATGGTAAATGTCTTCGTCCGTCTCCAAGATTTTCTTGGGGGCCAACAAAATCATAAAACCACCTTGTGAGCTTCCATCGGAGCGGCTGCAAAAAGAGGCATCAAAAGCGGTCACCAACCTACAGTCAGCCAAATCACCAAGTGGGGCATAGGTGAGCCCGATGTCACTGTTGAGCTTCGCGAACTTCAACAGGCGATTGGCTTCAAAAACTGTGGAAGCTAAACCCTTTGACACATCACCAGCTAACATTGATGTGCTCGCTTGAAGGTGTGGAGACGACTGGACTGCGGGCCATGACAAACTGCCCATAAGGCCGCGCAAAGCTGAAACTTCAGAGCCAGACAGCTCTTTCTCAGGACCAACATGTTTTGGCAAGGTCATCGGCTTGACCTTCTTGAGGTAACTTCCATGGTGAAGTTGCAGGACACCATCGTTGGTCTTTTTCAGCTCAGCTC